TGCTGTGCCATGTGGGTCAGCTCCCTGGCGGCGGATCAAATTCAGGCCTTAGCGGTGATAGTGCTGAGACTTAACCCCTAGGCCACTTTCCTTTTTTTTTTTTCTTTTATGGTAAAATACAGCAAAATTTCCCTCCAAGCATACTTAAATGCAGTCTATTGCTGTTAAGTCCATCCACACTATTGTGCAGGCCTCACCACCATTCCCTTCAAGTTCTTGATCTTGTAAAAATTGAAGTAACACCCATAAAAGAAACTGCTTTGCTCCCCCTAACTCCTAGCGAGCACCCTTCTATGTCCTGTGACTGATGACTCATACAGGTAGTCACAACGTTTGTCTTGTGACATTTCCTTCACAGCACAGCGTCGTCGCACCTGTAAGAACCCCCTTATTTAAATATATGTATTTGCCTTTTACATCATTGTTCATTTTGTGCCTTTTCCATCTCCGTTGTCCTCCCGCCACCAGTTCCCCCGTGTGCCTCCCGCCACCAGTTCCCCCGTGTGCTGTCCCCACAGTCCCGTGCTCTCTTCCCACCCCAGTCTTGATTCTATTCCCCTCCCCCCCATAGAATGTCTCTGGTTTCTAATTGTTCATTGTTTTTTATTTTTACTTTATTACAATTGCTTTTTTCCCCCTGATCCCTTTCACTCCTGCTGTGAATGAAAACATCTGGTGTTTTTCTTCTTCTTTTGGGCTTATTTCACTAAGCATGATCCAGCTCCAGCCATGTTGCTGCAAAAGACATGGATTTATCTTTTTTGATTGCTGAGTAATATTCCATTGTGTCTAGGAACCACTTCTTGACCCAGTCATCTATTTTGGGGTAGAATCTCCCTCTCTTTTTTTTTTTTTAATGTTTATTTTCCTTTCCATAGTTTGTTTTCTCTAAACTGACTTTATTCTATTTTGGTTTGGTTAACTGTTTTCTGTCTCTCTCTTTTTTTTTTTTTGAAAAGATTTATTTATGCGTACAAAACTGGGGTATAGGCCAGAGGTGCAGGGGTGGTGAGAGGACAGAGTCAGAGCGGGGAGCAGAACAAACAGACTGACAAAAGTATACTCAGAATCTCCCTCCTTTTAAAGATGTTACTCTCGCATCGTGCAGAGGTAGATTTTCTCCATCCTTCTAGGAATATTTGGGTTGCTTCCTGGCTTTAACTGTGAACCATAGTAGCTTTCTATTTTTACCCCCCCAAATATATAAGGGGCTCTACAGAGTGTGTGTGTAAAATTTACTTTCTATCTCAGTCTTTTGAATCTGCCTAAGTGCTCTTAACCACCAAGGCATGTCGATGAGGTAGATCAATGTGTTGTGGAGATACCCAGAACTTACCAGCCACTTCCCTGCTGACCTACATTCAGGTGGACCATACTCCGACTCCGACTCCACTCAGAGCAATCCCCAAGCCTGCTTCCTAAGTTGTTGCTGCAGTGAGGTCACTCAGAAGACAGGCCTCTTGCATCACAATGCAAGCAGCTAAGAAAAATGCTTGACTCACTGAGAATGGGCCTTACAAGGAGACAGTTCAAAAGTACTGGGCTCTGGCACCACGAGAGGTAAGGTGCCGGGGTCAAGGTGACCAAGACTTGTCCCTGCCACCAAGACCCAAGTCAATAACAAATTTTGAAGTACTGCAAATTAAAGAAACAGGTTTCTCAAAAGGGGCACCTCAGAATTCTTCACCTCCTTCGCAAGACCACACAGGACACAGCCCTTAGATGCTAAAGCCTAAGAACTGAAACTCCTCAGACAAACCCCCAGGCCTGTGCTGGGTCGGGGGGTTAGTAGGGGCATAAGCTGCCATGAGCATCTAGATGTTCACAGCTAACTGATTTCTGTCAGCTCCAAGAAGGTCAAAGCCTGGGTGGGAATGGGGAGTTGGTACTGCAAGTCAGCTTCCTGGGGTTAACTAGGGGTGGGCCTAGGGCTTAAATCAGCACTCCCACCACTAAGGCCTGAGTTTGATTCCAGCCAGGGAGCTGACCCACGGCGCAGCAGACCTCTCCTGTCTCCCCGCTGCTCCCCTCAGCAGTGTACTTCGTCAACTGGCCTGTTTGCTCCCCCACTCTGTGTGGGGAATCCTCTCACCCCCCACACCTCTGGCCTGTACCCCAGTTCTTCTACACAAAATGAATAAATAATAATAATGTAAACATGTTCAGCCTGCAACAGAGCAAATACTCCATAAACTCAGTTTCACTGACCTGCCCAGAAGACACACGGGTGACAGGGCCTGCTGCATGCGGCAGGCAGTGCGCAGAGATTCATGCCCAGGCGGGGAGCTGATGAATTGGCCAAAGCTGGGGTCTCCTACAGGAGGCTGATCTTTCTGCACAAAGCTAATAGCCCTCATTTCTCATCTCATGTCGCCCAGGGGGCGAATTGGGGGGTTGGTGCTGACTCTGCCATCACCCCCATTCGCTGCCGGGCCCTTCCCCTCCTCCTCCAGGAAGCTACAAGACACATCACTGAGACTGCACTTTATCTGTCTAGACGGCCATAACCTTGTCACGAGACTTGTCAGAGGTGAGAAAATTCCCTTTTGTTGCAAAAATTGAGTGGAACTAGAGAAATCGAGAAGTGGGCCAACGCTCTGGAATAAACCAGTCCAAGCCAGTGACTTCTTAAGTCATTTGCCGCTTGGATCAGACATGTTTTGTCATTTATGTGCCCCACCCACCCCCAAAAAAAGAAGCAGCAGCCCCAGAAAGGAACAGCCCACATGGGTCCCGACCCACCTGATGGAGCCCAGGCCACAGGTCCCAGATGACCACACAGCGACGCAGCCACTTCCCCAAAGGTAACCCCTGTAGATGTCAGGGCCTCCCACCCCACATCCTCTGTGGTTTGGAAAGAAGCTCCCCTGGCCTCTTGCCCAGCAAGGCAGTGGGTGTGGGGTAGGTGCGGCTCCTGGCCCACAGCTCAGTGGATGGAGCCTCTTTGATGCCGCTTCGGCAATAAAAAGAATGAGGGACCCATCTGGCAACGCCATCCCTAAGTGCCAGCTTTCACGAAGCTTCTGGTCCCGCTTCTGGCTCCGCCCAGCCACCAGCCACATCATCTCATCCTCCCAACAGCTTTATTTTGTAGATGGGGGAAATGGTTCAGAGAGGGAAAGTGACATTTTAAAGTTCACACAGAAAGAGCAACTGACACGCATCCAAACCCCTGGAGCCCGAACCCCTCACCACTGTGCCAGGCTGCCTCCTGGTTAAGCCATCTAAGCAAGCCCCCTTTTCAGACCCAGTCATGCTGCCTGCCATGGGTCCAATTCCCCTGGGTCTGCCAGGCACTGAACCCTGAAATGTAGCCTGGCCCACTGGGAGGGTTCTCTGCCGATGATACGGGTCTTCCTACTCACTGAACTGAGAAGCCAGCCCCGTCCTCCAGGTGGTCAGCTGCCCCAGCGGCAGTCAGCCCCAGCTCTGACCTGTCCCCAGCTGCTTCTGCACCTGGGGGAGAGGGGTGAAGGGCACTGGGGTTCAGATGATCGTGTTAGTTGTGTGGAGTTCTTGGATCCTTCTACAAAAGAATTCAGTAGATATATGCTCGTGCACCAGCAGAGAGCACATTTGTTAAGGCCAAGAGGAAAGGAAAGAGACTACCTGCACAGACACAGGTGGGCGGTCTAGAGACTACCTGCGCAGACACAGGTGGGCGGTCTAGAGACTACCTTCGCAGACACAGGTGGGCGGTCTCCCAGGGCAAGACTGTGTGGCCCAGGGAAGCTTTGTGACTGGATTTATGCCTTTGTAGAATTGATTGCCTCGGATCGGGCTGGTTTTCAGTCACTGATAATCCTCTGCACCCACCTCTGGTGGTGAGCCTTTTTGATTCTCCTTCAATTCTAGAAGCTGCTGAGGAATTGACTGCATCAGGGCTTCTTGGGTTGGTTCTCAGTAAGAGAGAGTGCTTTCTGTCCTCACCTCAGAGTCCTGGAAACTTCCACAGCCAGTTTGGTTGCAGGCTGATTATTCACCCTGACCCCCACCTCTGGTTGTGCGACCGACCTTTCATCTTAACTTTCTATTCCAAGCTTCCATCAAGGGTCGGGGTCTTTGATGCCACACATTCGTGCACGTCCACAGCTCGTCCACCGGCAATCCCAAATACATGCATTGGGTCCTTGATAAGTATCAGGGGTATACAAGGTTCTTCCAGCCCCTGGAGTCCACCACCCCCCTTTACCCTTCCTTCCACCATAGTTTTTCTCTGCTCGAATGTGGCTGCTCTCTGAGGGGAGTCCCCAGCTCCCTGATTAGCGCCTACCCTTGATAAATTCGCCCATAAACGCGCGCTGGATAAACGTCGACCGAGGCTCCCCCCTCTGCGTCTGAGGCGGGCCCGCCCGGACTACAAGTCCCAGCAGCCCCCGCGGCGCGGCGGGCGGACGTGGGGCCGCAGTGGGCGGGGCAGGCCGGCGGCGCAGAGCCGACTGCAGAACCTTCCCTGCTGCGCCGGGCGTCGGGTCCGCCAGGTGCCCGGCGCTGCTGCCCCTCAGCGCCCCGCGCCTGCGGCCTTCCGCCTCGTGCTTCGCCACGGGGCATTACGACGCCCGGGCCTGGGCCTCGGGCCGCAGCGCGGGGGCCGGCGATGAGCGCGAGGAGCCGGCATGAGCGCAGGTGAGTGCGCCTCCCGGGCCCAGCGGGACCGGGCGGTCCGGCGCCCTTCCTCGCACCTGCCTTGAAACAACACCCCCACAGACAAGTCAGGGTGGGGGGGATCCCCGCCCTCCACCGCCCCTTCTCGGAGAAGCAGCCCCGGGACTCTTCCCAGCAAGGTCGGAGCTCAGGGTTAGGGGGAAAGAGGGTGGTGCAGAGCAGGTGGTGGCCCGTCTCTGGCCCCACCCCGCCTGCCTACCGCCATGGGCGAGGAAGCTTCTGGAGCTTGTGCGAGACTGTAATTGGGGATCCGCGGAAGCCCAGTTGTAATTGGGGCGCCGGGAGGTGCCCCACTCCCACGGGACACCCTCCCAGGGTGACAGGTGTGGAGGTGGGGCAGAAGGTTGGAGGCCGCTGCGCTGGGCTAAGGGGCAGTTGGCCTTCTTGATGGAGTGGGCGAATCAAGAAGATTGGAGAAGTCTGGTCTCCAGAGACTTGGGGCAGAGCGTCTTGGGGGCACCAAGCCACTCCCAGTTCTCTGCCTCAGGCCCAGCACCGAGGGCCAAGGGCCGCACCCTCCATGGAGCATCCCCGGCCAGGCATCCAGGGCCTCGCCAGAGTCGCCTTCAAGTCCCACTTGTGGCAGATGGGTCCGTAGATCCGTCTTATCCAGACGGATCTCACCCCTGTGCTGGTCACTCAGGTCCCACATCCAGCAACGAGCCCACCAAGACTTGGGCTGCTTCCCTGCTGCTGCTGCTGCTGCTGCTGCAGACCCTTCCGTTCAGATATCTCCCTTCCCATCTGCCACCACACTCCCCACCCCTCCACTCCCATCCTATCCAGAAGGCAGCCCAGGGTGCGGGGGGGAGGAGGGGGACCGCACAGATAAGGTGGTCCCTGAACACCAGATCCCAAGATCGCAGTCCTGCAAGGAGGTTGCCCCTCACCCCTAGCCTGGCCGATGAGAGGAGCACCTCAGAGACGTGCTCTCAGCTGGGTCCCTGCCAGATCAGCAGCAGGAAACCCAGGCTTCCGCAGGAAACGAGAGGTCCCAAATGGCTTTGACTCCGGCCCGGCCCCTATGTGCTGCCCCGGGGCCGTGGAGACAGACTGGGTACAAGTTGGTTCGGGCCTCTCATGGCTGTGATGTTGAAGGTGCCCATGAACCTGTCTGTGCCTCATGTTAAGCCGTGCATCCATGGGGTGACCTGAGAGGAATGTGTCCATTCAGACCCACTCATTTCCAGCGTCTGGCCTTTCCCTCTATTAGATCCAGGACCACAGGCTTCTAGAAGTCTGCTCCTCAGTTTCCCCAGCTGTAAAATGGGGATGGTAATAGTCCCTCCCTCCCAGAGGTATACATGAGGATCAGTACACCCAGAGTGGACATGTCCTCCTGCGAGACAGCCGCATGTGCCAGCCCTGGGCTGCCCCGAGCTGGGGGGCACTCTGTCATGTTCCCTGAGAGACGTGACTGGAAAGACACAAGCACCTCGGAGTGTTTGGACAGCTGTCCCACAGGAGCGTTCCTGGGCCTGACCTGCAGGGAGAGGCCACTGATGACAAGGCGTCTACCTAGCTCTTTCCCAAGGTCAACTGGGAGAGAGTCCTGGGTGTGTGACAGGCACAAGAGGAACTTCCCAGAAGAAACATTTTAGCTCCGGGGTAAGGGTGGCCCAAGATGGTCTCCGGCAGCACCTTCAGGGGGCCCCCCACCTCCGCACCTCTCCGCAGACTGGCCCAGAGGTAGCAGGTGGCCAGTGCCTCCTAGCGCCATCGCCTCCATGCCGCACGTTGGCGCATTCCTTCCTTCCGTACCTGTCCCTGAGCCCCGCCCTTGAGCCACGCATCGGGAGCGGGAGGAAGAGGGCGCCATGCAGGCCTGACGATGGGTGAGGTGGGCAGAGAGGACTCAAGAGAAGACAGGCTGTGAGGCAAGTCTAGGCGGGCTGCCCGCTGAAGGGGGTGTGCTGCAGGCTGAAGCCAGGTCTGCCACCAGAGTGACCCCGGGGAGCCCCTGCAAGCCACAGGCTCCTTCCTGTCCCCCGCTGAGCTGGCTGAGCTGCTGAGTGCACCCAGGGAGCAGCGGCACAGCTCGTGCCTTTAGACAGGCTGTCGGGAACGTGGAGGCGCCTGAGAAGTGGGTCAGAGCAGAAGCCACTCCTGCTTGGTCAGGGGGAGGGCCACCGCCCAGCTGGACAGCCACGCTTGCAGAGTGCCAGACTCCGGAGTTGCTGCTTGCATCCCCGCCTCCGCCCCGCCCCCCAGGCCTGCTGCTTGGGATTTCAATCTTAGAGGTGGCGAATGTTCCCCACAGGGCCCCTGCCTTCCTAGACAGGGCTTGCTGGGAAGCAAACCGGGTGCGTGACTGTCGTAGGACCGCGTGGATAAGCGGCGGCCCTGAAACGAGACTGCCTGGACCAGAGCCCACCACTCACTGGCTGTGCGGATTTGGGCCACTCAGTGCACCCCCCTGGGCCTCAGTTTCCTAATCTGTAAGATAGGGATGGCAGTGGTAAGGAATGCCCAGATTAACATGTGGGTCCTGGGAACAAGCGTGGCCTGGGGCAGTCTCATCGTCGAGAGGCGCTTTGACTCCTTGCACCCCAGAGACATCCTGGGCGCAGCCCTCGGCGTGAGACACTGCCCACGTGCCCTGTTCTGGGGCAGGGTCTCCAGGGCAGGGCCGGGGCTCCCGGGCAGCTGCCCTTCAGAGGACAGGCAGGGCCCGGGGTGTGTGGGCAAGGACCTGGCACCCCAACCCTACCAGACTCTGCTGGACGCCTGCTCCCCTGCCCCACAGACCAGGCACCGGGTGAGCCCCACCAGAGAGCGGAGGGCCCTCTGCTGTTTGTGGGCTGCGGGCCACGTCAGGAAGGGAAGGGAATGCTGGCCGGGGGTGCCAGCCCCAGAGAGCTAGACGGGCCAGACGGGCCATCTGGCTGGTCTCTCTGAACGCCAGGGGAGAAGAGGACCCGGTTTCCTGCCGGGCCGGCCTTGAGGCCATTCCTCTGCCCTGAGACCCCGAAGACTGGGGCCGTGAGCGTGGGCTGGTGTGCACGTGAGCATGTGAGAAACGCCAGGCCCTTCCTGGAGCTGGAAGCTCTGTTTGTTTTCTGAGTCAACTGTGTGCGGGAGCCGGGAGGGACTGGCCAGAGAGTTATTGATTTGTTATTCTGATTGAGAGAGGCCTGGGAGGTGCGACCTGTATCTTGTTCTCTGAAAGTCTCCATAGGGGCCCCAAAAGCACGGTCTCAGGGCCCCAACTTGCTGGCCTCTAACCTCTGTGGCAAACAGACTCAGCCTCTCCTGCCAGGGCAGATCCCAGCCCTTAGGGTAGGGACTGGATAGAAAAGTGGGGTGCAGAGCTCCCGGGAAGCTCACAGCTCCCCAGGCCCTGCCCCCTCCCCCACACTCCACCCCCAGTCCTTGGCCTGGGCTGGGTCAGAAATCACCTGGAGAACAGGAAACCAGACGGAGGGCCGGCGCCCAGCTGGTACCAGACCCTCTGGGAGGCTGGAGCTGTTGGAGGCTCCCGAGCCGCCTGCTATGTGTGGAGAGTCGGGCGAGGAGGAGGCACCTCCCCCCAAAACCCTCTCCTGTGCCCACAGACAGCAGCCCCCTCGTGGGCAGCACGCCGGCCGGTTATGGGACCCTGACGATAGAGACGTCTCTCGATCCCCTCAGCTCCTCAGTTTCATCCGTGGTACGTGGCACTCCCACCCCCACCCAGACGCCCCCACCTCCCCAGCCCCCGCCCCACCCCCACTGGGGCCCTCTCCCTGCATCCCCAGAGGCTCAGCGGCTACTGTGGCAGTCCCTGGAGGGTCATCGGCTATCACGTCGTGGTCTGGATGATGGCGGGAATCCCTCTGCTGCTCTTCCGCTGGAAGCCGGGCTGGGGGGTGCGGCTGCGGCTCCAGCCCTGCACCCTGGCCCGCGCCGAGACACTCGTCATCGAAGCCAGAGACAAAGAGGTGAGCGGCAGGCCCGGCCCGGGCCTGGGCTGGTGAGGCGGTGGCCGCTCAGCCCGCCCGCCCGCCGACTCTGGGCGCCTGGGCGGGCCCCTCTCTGGACGCGGGGTGGAGGGGCAGGTTGGGGGCTCTGACCCCTGCCCGGGAGGTGGAGCTGGTGGAGGGCACTCTTCTGGACTGAGCCCGCTGTGCCCCAGGATAGCTCCTGGCAGCTCCACACGGTCCAGGTGCAGACGGAGCCCGTCAGCGAGTGCAGGTGAGGCAGCTGGTTCCGTTCGGGAAGGGAAGGAGGTTCGTGGGGATGGGCCGGTGCCGGGAAGCCCACAGAGTCCCTCAGTAACCCCACGCCCCTCCCCAGCCTGGAGCCGCCCCCGCAGGCCCAGGCGGAGGATGGCCGCAGCCAGGCGGCTGTGGGGGCAGTGCCGGCGGGTGCGTGGAAGGACACCGTCCGGCTGCAGGGGACGGAAGAGGCGGTGAGTGCGCAGCCGGGCCTGGACAAACCCTTGCCCGTCTCTGGGCCACCGCGTGCGGGGGAGGGGCCTGTCCCCATGTGTCCAGACTCCTCTGGATCTGTTCGCCCAGATGTCGGGGTGCTGGCTGGCCACCTTTGAGCTTCCCAGCCTTTTCCCCCTCTTCCTGCGACACTGCCCCCGCCCCCCAACACACACAGTCCCCGGCCGCCTCCAGCCCAGCGTCTTCCCCTCACCCAGCAGCCGGTGCTGCGGTACTATGTCTTCCAAGGCCAGCGCTACGTCTGGATCGAGACCCAGCAGGCCTTCTGCCACGTCAGGTAACGGCCGCGCGGCTCACACCGCCCCCCAGAGCACGGGTGACCCGAGGCCCGGGCTGGGTGCCCCCTCCGCTCCGCCTTGGCCCCGTGCCCACGTGTAGGTCACAGCCGCCCAAGCCTCGGGGTCTCTGTCGCTGACAGCAGGGGAGGCCCTGCCGCCTGGGTGGCTGTGAGGGGTCGTCCCTGCAGTCAGCCACCCAGGGGTGGTTCCGTGCGACTGCCCCCCGCGATGGTCACACCGAGGACACCCCTAAGGATGCAGGTTACCGAACGTGTCCCCCTTGTTAAGTGGCGCGTGGCGGCCTTCGGTGTGACGCCCCCACAGCGAGTCCGGCCACAGGCTCCAGACTCGAACCTTCTCTTTGGGGCCCCATCCCCGTTCTGCCACTGAGTAAGGGCGTGAGCTCACGACACAGCTTCATTCAGGCCCCAAGAAGCAGGTGCTGGGCCCCGGTCTCAGGAAGCCTGGGGGCGGGGTGTCCATCACCTGGGGATCTCTGAGCCAGAGGACAGCACGCACCTCGAGCTGCCCGCCCCCCGGGAGTGGGGGGGCTGGCTGCTGCTCCCCGGTCATGAGCTCGCCCGTGCGCAGAACGCACTCTGTCAGGAGCAGCGCCCGGGCTCCACGGGCTGCAGGCTGCCTCCATCCTGAGAGGGCCGTGTGAACACGCCACCGGCCTGCTACGTGAGAACAGCAGGAGTGCTGACCTGTTGGCTGTCAGTCAGTCACTGCCCAGAGCCCGGCGTGACTTCTTGCTCCATCCACCCGTGGGTCGGTGCCATCACCACCCCCATCTTGCGGGTGAGAGGGACTGGGCCGAGGTGTCACTGTATGTAGAGTGGTCACTGGCTGTTAACCGCCGTGGTCACTGACATCTGTCACCACCGTTCTCCTTCCTCGCGAGAGGGTTGGACCCAGTTAGAGGGACCAAAGGTTAGGCCCAGGGTTGGTGCGAGACCCGCTTGCCACCAGGAGCTTAGTGTGGCAGAAAAGGCCAGAAGGGGCCCAGAGCCCCAACTCCCTGACCTCGTGGGTGGGGGGACTCTGGCCTCATCACCCTCATCGCTGTCCGCTCCCCTCGCCAGCCTGCTGGACCACGGCCGCACTTGTGACGAAGTCCACCACACCCGCTGCGGCCTCAGCCTCCAGGACCAAGCTGTGAGGTAGATGCTGCCTGGACATGAGGACCCTGCCTTGCTGCTCCTGGGCCGGGCTCCTGCCATGGGCCCCACTTCCCTGGCTGTGTGAGGGGAATTCTGCCTCCCCAGAAGGGCCGGCTGCCACAGCCCCCGCCCTCCTGTGACTTCTCTCGCAGGAAGACCATCTACGGCCCCAACGAGATCAGCGTCCCGGTCAAGTCCTATCTCCAGCTGCTGGTAGACGAGGTAGGGCGGTCCCTGGGCCTCGCCCCTGCTCTGGGCTGGCCGTGTGGCCTTGGCTGGGGACTTCCTCTCAGGGCTGCTTGACTGGGGCAGGCCAGACTGCTGTCCCTTCCCCAGAGTGGAGCGGTGTCACAGACCCTGCCCCAGTCTGCTCAGGGTGAGACGTTCAGAGGGCCAGGCTGGGGCCGGGGGCTAGCCGTCGAGAGGCAGCCCACACAGCCGCCTGGTCCTGCCTGAACATCCCCACTTCCACACGCTCAGCTGCCCGCAAGCCGGGGAGGAGGGACAGGCGGGCAGCCGAGCTTGAGCTTCAGCTTCAGAGGGGCATGGTCGAGGTCACTCAGGGGCAGTGGGCAGGTATGGCCCGGACACAGCCAGATTCGCTGTCGACCTGGCAGCCCCCTGAGTGGCGAAGGGCGAGGGCGTGAAGTCTGGCCCAAGCCTAAGCCCCACTCAGACACCTGGGAGCTCTGTGGTTTTAGGCAGGCAAGGGACTTAAACCTCTTGTGCCTCCGTTTCCTTTTCTGTGACATGGAGCCCGTGGAGGGCCATTACTACTGTATGACCTTAGAGGTGGGGGTGCATCTGCGCCCCAGCCCTTAGTAGGACCCGTGTCTTTGGAGCGCAGAGAAGCCGGGCACCTCAGGCACACCTGGGGGGCGGGAGGGGTGGGAG